CCTGCTCACTAGGGGGTGTGCTTCTCCCTCTGCCCTTCCCATCACTCATGCTTGCTCTCTCTCTCTCTCTCTCTTTCTGAAATAATAATAAAAAAACACCTTAACACATATTTGGAAGTTTCTTTATTCTGGTTGTTTCAAGACAAATAATTTAGAAATATAAATTCTAAGTTATGTAAAACCCAATAAAAATGCATAGAATCCTTTACTATCTACAGTTTGTTTCTATAGTTCTATGGTTAGCAGTGAGCTAAATAATAAAGCAATTATAATAACAGTAAAATACTAGGCATTTGCTGAGTACTTACTCTGTACCAGAGTTTTTTTTAGTACTTTGCATGCATTATCTTATTTAATCTTCACAAGCAAGCCTTTGACTGTATTGCATGTGTATGTGTGTCTATGTATCAGTGTGGACTACTCGATTACTGGTCCATTTGTGCTAATCATTTGCATATATTTTTACCCAATACCTGTAAAAAGTGGAGTCCTAGAACAATTCTCTGCTATGATTCAAATTCTAACTGGAGAGGAGAGAAAGTGAAAGCTGAGCAAAGAGAGGAAAGGGATTTAAATGAAGTTGCCAGGAGAATTATTGCCTCATAAGATATAAATACTCACCTTAAAATCTGTTGTTCTTCTCTGACTTCTGGTAAATGCATATTCTTTTTCTTAGCTGGGTTTGTGAGTTGACAGTTTTCCCATACATATTTGTAAAAATGGTCTTTCTTTTGACCTGAAAAAGATTCCTCTCTGTTGTAATATAATTTTAGCGATAACTAGACTACAAAAAATAATAGACTGCCCAATTCCAAAACACTTAAGGGATATTTTGTGAATTTTTTCGCTATTACCACAGGAGCATATATTACCATAATTTCTTATTTTGCTTATGTCTGTTTCGTATGCATCGCCTCAGGGAGTAACTTTTATTGTTTTTATCTACTCTGAATAGTGCATAGCCTAGAGTGGGTTCCCACAAAAATGTCTGTTTAATGAAAGAATGATTTCATCTGTGACTTGAAAGAGTTAATATCTTCCTTTCAGGTCAAATGCACAAATCAATTCTCAACCAGAAAACAGACCCCCTATAGCTATTCAGGTCACACACCTGTTTCCTTAAATATCATTGCCAAATCACATTTTATATTCTATTTTATTACTGTGCATCCATCTTTCCATAGCATTAGAGGTGTTTCATTAAAAAGCAGTGTAAATTCAATTTGTTTTTATATTCACCTTGACAAAATTAAAAATGAATCATTGAATAAGTTCATGTGTATTTTGTGTATTTATGAAATTGTACAAACCAATCATAGTCTTATGTTGGGCATAATTTATTCAATTATCTGGGAGCATCAATTGATATTATTATTACCTGAAAGGGTAATATTTTTTTTTTAAGATTTTATTCATTTATTTGACAGAGAGACACACAGCAAGAGAAGGAACACAAGCAGGGGGAGTGGGAGAGGGAGAAGCAGGCTTCCCGCAGAGCAGGGAACCTGATGTGGGGCTCGATCCCAGGACCCTGGGATCATGACCTGAGCCGAAGGCAGACTCTTAACGACTGAGCCACCCAGGCACCCTGAAAGGGTAATATTTAAGGTAGAAATTTGGCAAGAACATCAATGTAAGCACAAAATTAAGAATGTTAATCAAGGGGCACCTGGGTGGCTCAGTCGTTAAGCATCTGCCTTCGGCTCAGGTCATGATCCCAGGGTGCTGGGATCGAGCCCCGAATCTGGCTCCCTGCTCTGGGGGAAGCCTGTTTCTCCCTCTCCCACTCCCCCTGCTTGTGTTCCCTCTCTAGCTGTGTCTCTCTCTGTCAAATAAATACATAAAATCTTTAAAAAAATGTTAATCAAGAACAATTAATTTTTAATGATCAGGTTGTCTTTTCAGGCTCCTTTTCTTTGAACCATCCCTTAATTGGAGGAGAGTCAGGGAGGGTTCCTCAGAGACCCATCCTTGGCCTTCTTATCACTCTGAATACATGATTTCTGGCCCTAATCATCTGTATCTGTAGCTTCCACTAGCACCAATATGCTGATGACTCCCTTATCCCATAACAAGTTTGAGTAACAGCTTTGCATCTCCAACTGAGCCTAGGATCGCTGTGATAGGCTCCTCAAAACTTCATGTTTCTCCAAACCTATACGTCTTCTAGAAGTCTATATTTCATCTATTATCAGTCAAATTACCCAACCTGAGAATCATATTCTTTCCTTAACCCTCTTCCTCAGCTCCTCATCCATATTCTGTTAATTCCTTTGTCCATCTCTTAAGCTTCCCTCCTCCCTTTCTCTCCTGTTTAAATTCAAGCCCTCATTGTTTCTCCCCCAGATTTTCTTAGTAATTTCACTGGTATTTTGTTTCTGTCTTCACTGCCCTTACCTTGCTCCAGAGTCTGACTCTTAGGAGTTACAGATCACCTTAGGTTGTACCTTACTTAAACCTTTATGTATAGCCCCATTTTCTTCAGGATATGGTTTAAATTCCAAAGCATGGCATACAAAACCAGGATGCCTGCCCACTGTCCTGCTCAATGCTGAATTTGTCTCTGACTGTTCTCTAGTCTCACCTCCTCCATCTTCATATATATTCTTCACTTCAGGCATGCCAGTTCACTTGCAATTCTCCAAATATGACAAACAATTTCATCCCTTTGTAAACGTGGTTCCTCCTGCTTCCAGTGCCCTCACCCCAATAGCTCTGAATCATTCTTCAAGACACATGTCAAGCATCCTTCCCTTACTCTGTCCTGCATGAAGTAGTTCTCTGTATTACCATTATCTTTGGGGTTATTGGAACAATCACCAGACTGCAATATCAATATTTATTTTCTCTTTTTTAAAATAAGTTATTTTTTCATTTGTCATTCTTTAATCTACAAATTTAAGGTCCAAGACTGTATCTTGTTCTTCTAAATATACCTAGCATCGTTTTAACATATGTTAGTTTCTTAAGCAATGTATGTTTAATTACTTAAACACACTCTTTGTTGTCTTTTGGATATTTCTTTAATTTATGCCCCTTAAACCATTTTCATCTTCATAGAGAAAATACTGTAGATCTTATTCTAAAAATTATTAGATGTTTTCCAGTGGGGCCCCCAAGGCTTGGAGAAGCTTTAATTTGATAACTATTTTTGGTAGGAAGAGGATAATAAGCTATCACATCAAGTAGTATTAGCTAATTAAAAAAGGAAACAAAAATATACCTTTCCTTGGCAAGAAAAATAAGGGCAATAAAGCTGCTATATTTAAATTATACTTTTGTGTTGCTAGGAATTAAACTCTTAGTTATCAGTTTAAAAAGTAATACACTTAATATACTAATTTATAATCAGTCAGATTACAATAGAAAAAGCCACATTTGGAACTAGAAAGGACTATGTTGAGTCTTTGTTCTAACAGTTGTGTAGGAAAGAGGATTCTCTAAGTTTCAGGTTCCTTATCTGTACAAAGGAACTAAAAATGAATGACATTATGTATGTAAAGGGCTTAGTGCAGTCATGGCTACAAAGCCCATAAAACGTAACTGTCATCATCACCATCATCATCACCTGTTAACCGTTGGTTACTTTGGTCATATTAGATAAGCACATTTACAAAACTTCGCAAATGTAATTTGCTATGTATATAAGCAGTAGATACCATGACTTAAATGAGTAGGCTTGCCATTTATTATTTACCTTGCCAAGCATAAAACATCGTCTTTAAACCAGTTTCTGAGATTTCCTCTTCCTTGGCAGTTGGAAATCCGCCAGCAGTAATGCCCTCAATGAACATTTTATCACTGTGGGCATCCATTAAGGATTGATAAATAGGCAAGATACCCTAGGAGTAAATATCTCCTTGTCTTTTTACCCCATCTAGGGAGAATGTCAGTAAATGCAGAAGGAAAGCTTCTCTCTTGTGTAGCTAACCGTGGAAGTGGCTTGAAAAGACTGCTTTTTGGCCATAGAGTAGACAAGCTCCGAGCCGGTAGTCACCTGCCTGGTGATATTTCCCCTGAGCTTCACCATCCCTCCGCTAGCTTGCCTACAGCACACCGCACCTTGTGTTGAATGCACTATATTTTCTATTTCCCCCTCTCCTCCGGATTAAGAACATCAGAAACACAGTCACCAGAGCAAACTCCCAAGTGGTTCCGGCATTGGGACTGAAAAATCTGTGCAGATAAGACAGGCTTCAGGTGCAGCCTCGAGACGCCCACTTGAGGCCAGAACCAACAATGACGAAGTGTTTGTGTGCTCCGTGGGCTCGGCCAAACGCTAACAGTGCTGGACACCGGGCGTGTGCTCAAATATTTGTTGGATATATGTCTACACTACACAACCTGTTTTGAGTCAACCGCATCCCAACCTATAAAATAATCCAGCTGTGTGTGAGCTGAACCTGAGTGCCATTTCGCAAATACAAATTCTATCTTGTTCATGCGTCTGCGGGAATAAAAACAGTTTAAAAAGGAAGCCTCGCGTGTTTGTTTTGTTTTCTTTTTTTCCTCTTGTCAGGAACGTTCCTCTGACTTTGTAATTTGGACTATCAGCAAGAGCGTCAAACAGCAGCAGAGCAGAGCGAGAGACTTTTCAAAGTCTCTTCCCAACGTTATTTTAAGGTGAGCGGCTCAGGCCCCACTTTTACGCACTTGGGTTCAAGCCTGGGCATCAGGTTCGGGTCTGAACGGTGTTCCGGCCGCTCTCCTCACCTGGGGGTGGGGGCTGGGGCGAATGGGGGCAGCTTTCTGGCCCCCGTCCTCCTGCTCCTCGGGAATCTTGTGGGAGAAAAAGGACGTGTGGTGGGGGTCCAGGCAGTCAAGCAACCCCGGGTGTGCGCACTCAGAGCCACCACGTCCAGCCCTTCCCTGCCTTTGCAAACTGCGCGCCCCGGTACCCGGCACCTGGGCCCCGGCGGTAGCTGCGGCGCGCGCACGCGCACTCGGCGACCCCGCGCCCGCTCAACATTTTATTCCACGTGTTGCTTGTTGTAGGAGCCACAGGTTCCCCACCTGCGCCCGGGCGCTCTGGCCGCCCCGCCTCTGCCCAACGGGCGTTGTAGGATGACAGGGTTGGCGGGCCCCGGGCCGGCCGAGGAATTCACGAGGCGCTCACGTTCACCTCCAACGCTAACTCCGCCTATTTAATCCCGGCGGCTCCCCCTCTTCTCCCGGCTCCTGCCCGCCCCTTTCGCCCTGGTGGTAGGAAACATTCCGGTCCCAACTCGACGTGTCCGGAAAGCTCTGGCCAGTTTCCCTTTCGTTCTGCGATCGCTGCTGCCAGCCGCGAGGCTTTCTCAGACCGGCAGGCGCAGCTGCCGTGGGTGAGGCGCCTGGGGGCCGCAGGCTGAGCGGCGGGGCGCCCCGAGCACTATGCTGGACCCGTCTTCCAGTGAAGAGGAATCGGACGAAGCATTAGAAGAGGAGAGCCGAGATGTGCTGGTGGCGGCCGGCGGCTCGCAGCGAGCGCCACCGGCCCCGGCTCGCGAAGGGCGGCGGGACGCGCCGGGGCGCGCGGGCGGCGGCAGCGCGGCCAGACCAGTGAGCCCAAGCCCCTCGGTGCTCAGCGAGGGGCGAGACGAGCCCGAGAGGCAACTGGATGAGGAGCAGGAGCGGAGGATCCGCCTGCAGCTCTACGTCTTCGTGGTGAGGTGCATCGCGTACCCTTTCAACGCTAAGCAGCCCACCGACATGGCCCGGAGGCAGCAGAAGGTGAGTTGCACGCAGGACCGGCCGCCTCCGGCCGCCACTTCTTCCTCTCCGGAGTTTTCTCCTGGGAGAGCTCTGGGTCGCTTGCCCTCTGCCCTTGTTCAACGCGGGTACTATTTTTGTTGGTCTTCGAGGTTCAAGGGAAGACCGTGCTTTAGCTGGCTGGGTATCGGGTTGCAGAGGCCGCGTCCTCCCCCAGCCTCCCCCTTCTCGTTGGCAGAAGCTGTCAGCTCGGCATCCGTGAGACTAACCGGTACGTGGGCTGTGCGGTGGTTGCACCCGGTGGGGCTCCGCTCCGGCCAGGTTAGAACGCAACTCCCATCAACTTAATTTTCTAACAGCAGTGGTGCATTCCTGTCCACCCAGTTCAGCTGGAGCTGGACTTTGCTGTGGGTGTAAATGACTGTAGTTAGGCGAAGCAGGTGGAATCTGGACACTTCTGTTAGCTAGAGAAGCCTTCACTAGGGCGAAGGGGTAGAGATTTTCCCCAGTGAATAAAAAAAGTTAAGCTTCCTATACTGCTGTAAAACTAGGACTTCAAATCCAAACGTTGGAAAGGGTACGCAGTTTTGAAGAGTTGCTGTAGGTTGGTAATTCCTGGTCTGGGCAGGCCTAATGAAACGCACTATTGATGAAAAACAAAGGAGTAGCACATTGCCACTTAATAAGGAATGCTTTTTTTGTATCCCAAAGTGATAAGGAGTTCCAGGTGTAATATTTTCCGACCTTAGTTTTTTTTTTAAAGATTTTATTTATTTATTTGAGAGAGAATGAAAGACAGCATGAGAGGGAGGAGGGTCAGAGGGAGAAGCAGACTCCCTGCCGAGCAGGGAGCCCGATGCG